CTGCGGGGCCGACTGGGGAGATCGTGCCCCCGCGCGGGTCGCCTCCCTCCGCAAGGCTCCGAGGTCGCAGGTGCTGGGAGCTCACCACCCGCCAAAACACCCGCAGCTGAGCCGCCGCCGCCGCAGATTTCGGGCTCAGCCCCGCGGGGATCGCAGCCGGCAGGGCCGCGGCTGTGGGAGAAAGTTCTGGGCCTCCGGAGCTAGGAACACCTGCAACTAAGGCAGGATCCTCCACAGGAGAGAAGCCCATTCATTCGCAAATTCGCGATTTTGGGGCCATGGCGGGGGAGGGGCGAGGTTGGGGTGAGAAGGGGAAGGCCTTGACCAAGAACAGAAAGGGTCACTTCGGTCAACACCCGGGAGCCTTTCACAGGGTTAATATTAAGCTGTTTCAAACTATGTCCTTAATTAGTCAAACCCATCCTGTAATTCTTTCCATAAGCCTGGAATCACAACTGGAAGATTTATTTGCTATTTTCTATCCAACACATTAACTGCTAATGCGAATGGTGCCTTCCTCTCACCTGGGTGGGGAGGGAGAAACTGTTGGGATCGTTATCCCCAGAAAGGAGCCAGGAGTTAGTTGGGGTGTCCCGCAAGCCTTCTGGCCCAGGTGCCCTCCTAAGCTGGACTTCGGACTTCACATCTTCCTCTCTCGCTTAATTCTATGTATGTTGAAGGAGGACCCTCCCACATCTCCACTTTCTTCTTACCTGACCATCCCCCACCCCCAGAAGTCACTTTAGAAAACCCTAAGTTTGTTGATGGGTGCCAGCCAATCTCCCGTGTTTTTTTTTTTTTTTCAGCAGTTTATGACAGAAAGGAAGAGTCATGGTTGTGATGTCACCTGATGAAGGAGGGGAATTAGGGAGACTGATAAGGGAGGGCAGGTAGCAGGAAAGGAGAAGCACTGACCCTGCCTTCTAGGCATCCTGTTTATTTTAAAAAGAAGGCAGTGCAGCCCCTTGTGGAGTACCTGTCAGGGAGTCTGCTCCCTGACCCCTAGGTCTCCAAATCTAATTCCAGACTCTTCTTCCTGATTCACAAAATGTTAAAGGGGGATATGATTTTGTTCTCATTCAGCTATGGAAACAGAAACAACCTGTCCATTCCTGGCTCCCTAGCCCGCCATCCTGCCTTCTCAGGAGTAGACTCCAGAGAGATGCATACTGTCTGTGGACAGAGTTTCTGATTCCTTCCTCCTGAGCCTCCATCCTCCCTTGCTTGTTTCTCTCAATTCACACACTCTGCTAATTTCTTTCTGCAGTGGGGAAACTAGTGAAAACTTAATACTTTCAAAACCTAAGCCGCATTCTATTCTCTAAAGGAAACCTGGAGAAATTGCCCAGATGAACTCTGCAGATGATTTCCTTCTGCGTGGTGGGAAAACACTGTCATAAACTGTGATAAGAAAGGGAAAGTAGAAAGAGGCAATTTGAGAGTAGGGCTTATTTGATATTCCTCTACAAAGAAGGATGCTGTGCTCAGGTTTTTTTTTTTAAGGCATTTTTGTCTTCTGCATCAAAAGACTCTAGTGGGATGCAATAGGGAGATGTTTAATATCTAGGAAGACTTACAAAGCAGAGACTTTTTATCCCCCAAAGGAAAAAACAGGGAAGAAATTAGAAGAAATATAGACAAATAAACTTGTGTTTGAGCAGTTGGTCTAGGAATCCTCTATTGCATTGTTCATTGTTGCCCTATTCCTCTTTTTGCTTTATTTTTCAAGGTTGATCAGTGGGTCTCAAGCAAGGTTGTTGATGTGAACAAAAGTGGTGTTTGCCACCAGTTCTTCGGGTGCTGCTGATTTTATAAAGGTGATTATTTCTGTTCCCTTTAATCTCTGGAAAAAGCCAGAGTCTTTGTCCCCTGTGAGTCCTACTTTCATAGAAACCATGTTCATTTAAAACACTGGTCAGAAATAGTCAGGACATATTTGAGGATGCTGCTGATGATAGTCTTATTCTCCCCAGTTGGCTCACAGATTCTATTCAAAATGAAGCTATTTGGAGACATGTAAAAGCCAGTAAATTTCCTTGTGCACAAAAGAAAATGGTGCATTATGCCCACTGCCTATTTCCACTCAAAAGTGAATAATGCCCCAGTTACCACCAGGCCTGACTTGATTTATCTTGGTTAATAGGATTAACATGTCAGCCTCTCTCAAGAATTTCCAAATGCATATCCGGAGTGTCACTGACTCACTGGTGTCTTTTTTCTTCTCTGATGGGCATAATGACGCACCTACAAGCAGAGGGCCTTTGTCCAGTGGGAGCAGGCAGATTATCTGTCTCCAGTGAAATAAGGCGTGTTGCAGCCACCTTTGCCAAGATTCAAAGCCAGAACCCAGTCACTATAAAATAATTGTGTCACTACCTCACAGTGCACTGTCCATGTTTCATTTATATTTTGACTGTAATTGAATGGTTGAAAAGCAAAAATGTAGACAAATTCCAGCTGTATTGAGATCTGTTTCTTCCTCCACTACCTCGGGCCCATCATTAGATACTTTCCCTCTCTGCGCAGGAGGTCAGAGTGTATAAATATAAATTGCATTTTGCATTACTTCTAGATGAGTGAAGCTGTCAAAGCAATAATATGAGCTTTCAGTCCCACATTCTACCACTTCTTTCCCATTTTTTGGCCAGGAGGTCATGTGCAAATTGAACGTGACAACCCAGAAGACATGTCCAACAGACTCGTATTGTTACTCAGCTCAGCTGCCTGGCTCGTAACAACATTAAACCCACATTAGTCCCCAGCCTCCGCCAGGCAGGAGCTCCTAAACACAGGACCCAGGCTTCTCAGAAAGTTCACTTCAATAGTAACATTTCATCTGGAAGTAGTAAGCAACACTGACCTAAAATATTTTTCACCCAAAATTTATGAGGAGATCATGTCACAAGACCAGGGCAGTATATGAAAAGACAAAGAACAAGAAACAAGATAGAGTGTCAAAGAATCTTCCAATACACACAAAGACACACACACTCACACACACTAGATGGGGTGTACTGGCTTCTGTGTGAAAATGTGCATATTTTCTATCAGTGATGTGCTTGGAAATAAATTTTCATTGTTATTCCAACAATGAAGATGTCATTCAGGAAACCACCTGAAAATATGGGTTGACCTTGTACTCTTATTAGCACTTTCTTCATAGCATTGTTTTGGAACTCTAATTCCATAACAAAAAATAAAGCTTTAGCAGCTTATTATCGCCATCATTAAATGGTGACCTTCATCAAACTACATTGTGGTGAAAAGATCAGAAACTTTCATCAATTTTAAGGAAGCTGAATGGCTTGGAGGAGCGGTAATTGTCTATGTGACCCATTCACGTCTTGCCCAGATTGCAGTTAACAGAGACCTGTTGTTCACTGACAGGGTGTTTGATGATTTCTAGGAATTGAGTGGCTGTTTTCATTCCTGTTCCAAATGGACAGGTGTCTACATCAGAATTGGCAACCTGGTTGGCAGACTCAGAGTAGCCAACCAGCAAATTGTTTATGGAGAGTAAACTTGCCTCCCTCCCATGATGAGTGTGCATAAGTGTGAGGGCTGGCAGTGAGGAGGGAGGAGAAATGGAGATGCTGGAGGCAGAAAGATTGATACAGGTTCATGAAGCATAAAGGGGATGGAGCCCTTTGGTTCCAAATGGCGCCATATGCAACTCCGCCTCTCTTGGAGCTCATCTTGTATTTAACCACCTTGTGTTCTAAGTGTACAAATAAAAGTCCATGAAAGTCACTTAATCTTTGTTAGGATGTTCATAGCAATCTCAACAAATAAAATAAATCAAGTCAAAAGTTTTTACATTTTGTTAAAATAGCAGTATTTCCATACACTTTTACTTTCTCAAAAAATGGGTCCTAATTGTCCTACCCTCGAGTGAATTGAAGGAGCTTAAATAGTGAATGTGAAGAAGTGGTAACTACAAGAATCACACCTGGGAGTACCTAATTCAAAGTAGGAAGTATACCTCTTGTTCTCTCTGGCTAATGTCACATTTTTAATACATAACATCTAAGAGTCACCATCAGATACATAAAAATTTTTCTCTCTCCTTTCACTTTTATATATGATCTTTACAATACAATTATTCGTGCTGAATTTTACTGCCTCAATGTTAGTATTAAGCAACTTATGTGCATATGCTTAAGAAAAAAAAACAATTGTTATAAAAGGATCTAATATCATTTTTATTATCTAACCTTTGCTTTCATAAGGATTAAAGTTGTTTTAAAGTTTTGGAAATGACAATAATAATAGTAATAATAATGAAACTGAGGCAGTGACTGTTATGAACACTGGGACAATTTACACTTGATTTTGGACAACTTTATCTGGATGTCTGCAGTTATTAAAATTTTTTAAGTTATATGCATCTCTGAACATATCACAATGAATTCCACATTAATGGTTAACTATAATGCTCCAATTAAAATAAATAATTTTTTAAATAGTAAAAAAGGATAAAGTATGTTAAGTGTTAAATTTTTAAGCTTCCAATCACAGGGAAGTTTTGTCCTTTCTTTGTCTTTCTCATCTCATCTTTTTTTTTTCTTTTTTTTTTTTTCTTTTTCTTGTGGTGGGGGATTACTGCAGACTGAACTCAGGGGCACTGGACTACTGAACTGAGCCACATCCCCAGCCCTGTTTTACAGGGTCTTACTGAGTTGCTTAGCACCTTGCCATTTCCAAGGCTGGCTTTGAACTCAAGATCCTCCTGTCTCAGCCTCCTAAACTGCTGGGATTACAGGTGAGCACCACGGCGTCCAGCATCATCTCATCTTAATAAAATAATATGTGCACACCTGACACTTTTTAGTTTACTTTTATTCCACTACATTACCAGAAATTGTAACAACGAAGATCAGAGGCTTTAGAATCAGACTAACTGCTCCACCTTTGCATGATGTATTTAGACCTTGGAGAGATAATTTAACTCTAGGCCTCAGTTTCTTTATCTGTGGGATGGGAATATTAAATGTCCTTACTTTAAAGACTTGTTTGAGGATTCTTGAAATAGCATACTTTCCATGTTTCAGGAACTAGGTAGCTTCTCAGAGTTAAGAATCATTATTGCTGCTGCTGCTGCTGACAATGATGATGATGGTCTAACATCTGTAAGGGTTACTGTCTTCATTTTTCCTCTGTGAGACAAAAAAAAATACACAAAAGGTTGTAGAAAATGTTGAAGTTAGGTAAAGTGTATAAAGCATTTGGCATAGTAGCTGAACCAAGGAAGTCTTCAGTAAATGAGAAGTGAATTTTTGGAAAGGAGTGAAATAAATATTCACTTTGGGAAGAAAATTTATTCTTCAAGCATCCAACTTGGTGTAGTTCATCATGTTTGGATCTAAAGACTTAGTTGATAGAAGATGGCATGGATAAAGCCAAAGTTGAAAAATGATGCCCAGTTTGCTTCCTTAGTACTAGGAACACAACTCATTCCTTGCCTGATCTGAATTCATACCACTGAATATGAGTGAGAAACCTTAATAATAGTGGGTGGGACTGGGGATGTGGCTCAAGCAGTAGGGCGCTGGCCTGGCATGCGTGCGGCCCGGGTTCGATCCTCAGCACCACATACAAACAAAGATGTTGTGTCCGCCAAAAAATAAAAATATTAAAAAAAATAATAATAATAGTGGGTGGGGGTGGGCAGCCCAAGTTCACTACTACCCTTGAATAAAATACATAAAATAGAAATCAGCATTTGCATTACACTGTTCCAAAGATGTGTCATGGAATCTGAAAGAGATATTGGAAGTATATTGTATTGGAAGTAGGTAGTTGGAGTATATTATTATTCCTGACATTGTTATTTTTCTTCTAGAAACAGGATCAAACTTTCTGGAGTCTGCATTTAACCGTAAGCTGTGGCACCATTTAAATGAAGGATTCCTGAAGCTAGGAGTCTCCCACCTGCACAAAGAGTCATGCACATCTATGAAAGCTTACTCTACCTGAGAGGGGCCCAACAGACAAGGTTCCTTGAGAACTTTACAATGAACCAATAATTCAATTTTACCAGGGTCTTTAGGGGTTATACATATATTCCAAATAAATTTTTCAGGTTGAAAATAATAGTTGGGTGGTAAATTAACTTGTATATCAGAATTTATGTTTATAATCTTCTATAATTTGGATAAGTGTCCTTCAAAGATCTGTTTGCTAAAGACTTGCTTACTAGCCTGTGGTGCTCTTGAAAGATGGTGGAAACTTTAAGAAGTGGAGCCTAATGGAAGGAAATTATATCATTGGGGACATGTTCTTAAAGACTATATTAGGATCCCAGCCCTCTTCCTGCCTCCCCACACCCTCCTTCCTAGCTATCATGAGGTATATAGCACTTTTCCATCACACTGTCCCCATGATGTGCTGCCTCTTCAAAGCCCCTAAGTAATAGTGCAAAGTGACCATGGACTGAAATGTCTGAAACCATGAGCCAAAACAAAATAAATCTTTCCTCTTTTTAAGATGATTATCTCAGATATTCTTTATAGCAGCAGGAAGCTAACTAATATATAAACTCCATATTGGGAAAGGAAAAAAAAAAAGAAGAACTTGGGTAACACACTAAGATTCTTGTCCTAGCTGATTCTTTTCTTTTTAATATTTTTGTTTTAGTTGTTGATGGACCTTTATTTTATTCATTTGTATGTGGTGCTGAGAATCGAACCCAGTGCCTCATCCATGCTAGGCAAGAACTCCATCACTGAGTCACAACCCAGCCCTGATTCTTTGATTCTTCATTTTAAAAATCAAACCTTCATTAACTGATTAAATAGAAAAACAAGTTGGTCAGATAGCTCCCTATTGCTTCAAATTTGGTGCATATGTGTTTCAACTGAATCAACACTGCCCAGTGATATTTAAAATCTCTAATGTCTTCAGTTCAGCTACAAAGCCAAAAGGAATTGGGTTTGCTCCATTCTTTCTAAACCTAACTATCTCATTCTGTAAGAGTAAATTGGATTATGTGAAAATTAAAATCTAAGCAAAACGAAGCAACTCCTCTACCCAGTCACCATTGAAGAACCACACAGCCAAGTGCTTGGCATTTGCCTGTCATCTGCTTTTCTGGCCATAGGGAGCAGCCCAAATGACAGGCACACAGATGGATGCCTGGTATGATTAATGGTGTCTACCAGCCCTGGTGGTAGGATGCAGGAAGTGGTGACAGATATGGGCTAGGCCCTTTTTGGCTTAGTGTTCCTTCCAAGACTTGAAGTAGAGAAGAATCAGAGAGAAATCCGGTCCCATTCTTTGCTAGAAAATCTGAACTTCTTCTTCTTCTTTTTTTTTTTTTTTTTTTTTTTTTTGAGAATCCCTTCCCAAGACCAAACCTTTAATAGGAAGCCAAACAGGCCTCCTAACTGGCCCATCAAAATTACATCTGCTCTCTCTTCCCTTCCCTTCTCCTCTTCCTTTCTTCCCTTATTCTTTCCTCTCTCCCTTCTTTGTTCTTTTATGGGTCCTTATCTTCTTTTTTCCCCTTCTCCCAACACTGTCTCACCTTGATGATATCAGAATATAAACTGGACCACCAGAATGAACTCTCTGCAGAGTCCCTGAGGAGCAAATTAAAGTACATGATGCTGGGAAAGGCAGCAGGGAGACTTGTAAGAAACCCAATTCTAAGGCTGGGGATGTGGCTCCAGCGGTAGCATGCTCGCCTGGCATGCGCGGGGCGCTGGGTTAGGTCCTCAGCACCACATAAAAATAAAATAAAGATGTTGTGTCCACTGAAAACTAACAAATAAATATTTAAAAAATTCTCTCTCTCTCTCTCTCTCTCTCTCTCTCTTAAAAAAAAAAACTCTTTGAATATGTCCCACCTCTTCCTAATCAAGGGTGTCATTTTTGAGTATCGTGCTATTATGCATCAGGGACAAGGGAGACCAAGGTTTCATCATTAAATATGCGTCAAATATGAGATCATAGCTTCAGGATCAAATCCAAAGTTGACCATTATTTCTTTTGTGGCTTCTTGCTTTGTTTTGGTGCTGGGGATGTAATCCAGTGTTTCACAGCTGCTAAGCACATGCTCCACTACTGAGCTACAACCCCACCCTGATGGCTTCTAAATTTTTAATTAATTTTGAATATGTAATAAAGATATTTAAATGTTTTTTTAATTAATTTGTTTCTAATAAGTAGTAGAAACATGCATAATGGAGAAAGAAATAAAAAACATTCTTTTCATCTCACCTCCTAGGAGCCCTTCCTACCCAAGTTTACCCTTTTTGGAAAATTAGTTAGGATTGGGGATACAGCTCAGTGGTAGAACATATACTTAGCGTGTGCAAATTATATTGAGTTCAATCCTCAGTGCAGTAATAAATAAGTAATAATTTAAAAATTAATTAATATTTTCTGAGCAGTTTTAGGTTGATAGAATGCTTAAGAGGTAATTACAGAGAGTTCGCATGTATTCTCCTACTAGTTTTCCCTCCAATGAACTCTTTGCACTGGTGTAATATACTTATTACAATTGATGGGCCAATATTGATACATTATTATTATTTAAAGTAGATAGTTCACCTTAAGATTTTGACAAAGTCAGGCTGGGGATATGGCTCAAGTAGTAGCGCGTTCACCTGGCATGAGTAAGGTACTGGGTTCGATCCTCAGCACCACATAAAAATAAAATATTGTGTCCACCTAAAGCTAAAAAATAAATATTAAAAAAAAAGATTTTGACAAAGGTGCTGGGCCCAGTGACACACTCCTATAATCCCAGTGGCTCAGGTGGATGAGATAGGAGGATCCTGTGTGTGTTCAAAGCCAGCCACAGCAAAAGCGAGGTGCTAGACAACTCAGTGAGACCCTGACTCTAAATAAAATACAAAATAAGCCTGGAGATATGGCTCAGTAGTTGAGTGCCCCTGAGTTCAATCCCTGGTACCCCAAAAAGAGAAATGAAAAGATTTTGACAAAGGTATGATGACAATTGTCTCCTACTACACTATTATCATAGGGAGTACTTCTACCTTGCTAAAAATCCTCTATGCTGTGCCCATTTATTTATCCTTCTATCCTTCAAAACAATGGAAAACACTATCTTTTTACCATTCCTGTAGTTTGAGAATGTCATAACTGGGATAGAAAACTTTTTTAGACTAGCTTCTTTCACTTAGCAATACGTGCTTAAAATTCTTTTTATTTGTGAATAATATTCCATTGTCTCAAAGTATTACAGTTTGTTTATTCACTAACCCACTGAAGAACATCTTGGTTGCTTCCAAGTTTGGACAGTTATGAATAAAACGGCTGAAAACATCCACATACAGGTTTTTTTGTGGACATAAGTTTTCACCTCATTCAACCAGAGACCATGATTGCTGGTCTACCAGAGTATGTTTAGTTGGTTTTTTGTTTGTTTCTTTGTTTTGTTTTGTTTTGTTTTTGTTTTGTTTTAACTTCCAAACTGTCTTCCAACCCCTTTTTGTGGTTTTAATGAACATATTAGTACAAATAGTTACTTAACATTGATGGAGACACAGGCCCACCAATGGCTTCTGGTGAACAGCAAGGCAAGAGCAAAATGTAGTACCACCAAGTCACCTAAGAGGATAGATCTAATCAGCCGCAGGGGTTCTTTCGTAGCCTTGCAATTTACTTGCTCTGTGACCTCTGGCAAATTACTCAACCTCTCCATGATTCAGTTTCCTCAACTACAATGAAGTTTGGTAATACCCAGACACTAGAGTTCCAAGAATTAACTGAGATATCCCACACACATCTTGACAGAACTCTTGGTACAAGTAAGTTGTACCATTTTTATATCTTATTGCACAAACTAGCATCTTTTCCCCCAAAATACCTATTACATTCTTTAGGGATGAATTGGTATTACAGTGCATTCAGAAGTACCAAAGACAATGAGAATTTTATACACTGTGAAATCTATTGAGAAAAAAAAATCCTATCAGCTAAAATAAAAATAAAACAAAAGGAAAGAAACCTTACAAAGTAGAAATGCTTCCTTCTCCAAGGTCTTGGTCCATGAAATAAAATTCCTCCCTCTGCATTCAAACCTGAGTTCTTATTAGTGTCTTGTTGGCTCAGAATCCTCTGGGGTAAGTCCTGAATTATGAAATACCCTCTCTCTGGCAGCCTGCCAAAGCCTGTTCTGCAAGCACCC